AAATTATAATTTATTTCAATAGAATTATTGCAGACGTCAGTAAAATTTTTCAAGAAAATAATCTTTTTAATCATATTTAATTTTGAAATGTGTATATGAAAGCAATTAATGCATACAATTTAAAAAGTTTCCAAATAAGGTACATATTAAATGCTCCCAAATTTTTTTGCTACTATTTTTACTAAATAGTTATTCTTTTTATATAGATATAGATATAGATTAATACAATACAGAACAGAGTCAGCTAAGATGCATTAGAGAAGTCAAGTCAATCCTTTTGAGCCATCCTGATTAATGAGTGCACTGGAATTAAAGTTTTTTTTTTTTTTTAAATCCAGAGGTTTCTTGACTCCCAAAACCACCAAAGCATATATGTAGTGAGCTGGATCCTTGCTTCAGCAACTTCAGAACAGTCAAGAGAGCACACTTGGTACCACCATGCCTTGAAAGAGTCAGTGCAGCTTGATATTCCATCCCACTGAACAAGAGAATAATACATGTTCCACTGCCTCTATGGCCTCACGAAAAATAGAACAAATAATATCCACATCCATCCTTCTCTTTTTCAAATGAATAGCAACTGGAAGTGTACCTGAAATGCACTTTCAAAGAAAACGCTTGAGTTTTGCAGCTATTTTTAACTTCCAGTATTTGAATTGTGTTGTTTTGCTGAGTGTGGCATGAGAGCTGCTTTCAGGAATGTCAGTGTGCATAAGTTTAAGCAAAAACAAATATTCATAGGTGCTAGACACAGAAAAATGGCCCTATTTCTCAAGCCCCCAGAAAATCCTGTCAGGTCTGTTAGGATGAAGAGATGAGATACTGAGTATGGCAGCACCATCAGTCTCATCAAAAACCTGTCTAACCAGCCACTCATTCCATTGAGTTCCATTGTTCTGCATAAGATCCTTTACTCAAATCAGATGATCCTGGCAATTGGAATAAATATAGGGGATGGCTTGTTGAGATTTGGCACCCAGTTGAAGTCTGTAATTTTGTGTTAGCACCATTTCTGGTTACTGTTTTCAAGCAATTGGAAAATATGGGCATAACCTCCATCCAACAGTTCCACATCCAAAATCCACTCTGAGTTTTAACAACACGAGTAATAGAAGAGTTAAGGAAGTATCTGTCCTTAAGGACTATGCTGACCAACAATTCAGGATTTGAGGCAACCCTCTATAGTTGTTTACAAATCAATGACTGATTAAATAATTGCAGGTCCTGAAAACCAATACCTCCATTCTTCTTTAGATGTGAAAGAAAACTCCAGTTTTTCCAATGTATGATCTTACTCTACTGATCTCTTGAGTTCCACCAAAATTAAGCACAGAGCTTTCATTTCAGAGCATAATGTCAGTGGAAGCTTGAAGCAAGACATGAAAAAGATAGGCAAAGCTTGAATAACAGCCTTTAGGAGCACCTCCTTGCCAGCTGGTGATAGGAGTTTGGATTTCCAACTGAGCAACTTGTTTTTTACTGCATTAGAATGTACTCAAACACTTCTTTTTTAGATCTTCCAATGCCAAGAGGAAGACCTAAATAGCGGGTAGATAAGTGAGAGACAATACCATTGAGTATTCTGCAAATGGAGGACTACAGGTGCTGAGGAGTGTTTCTGCTGAAAAATATGGCAGACTTGTGCATGTTTACTGCTTGGCCAGTGAATAACTTGTACTGATCAAGAATATTCATCAAGATAGCAGCTTGATCTGTTCCTGCTCTACAGAAGAATAAGGAATCGTCTGCAAATAGGAGATGAGAAAGCAAAGGACCATTCCTGGATATTTTCATGCCCTTAAGAGAACCAGAATCAATAGAGTTTAGAATCAAGGTAGTAAGTAACTCAGCAATAATGATGAATAGGTAAGGAGAAAGAGGATCCCCTTGCCTAATTCCTCTTGATGGTGTCACAAAACCACTGACAGTTCCATTGATCTTAAAAGAATAAGAAGCAGTAGTGACACAAATCACGATCATCTTCACAAAATCACTATGAAACCCCATCTGAATCATAGTTTTTTTCAGGAAAAGCCATTCAACCCTGTCAAATGCCTTCATTAAGTCTAATTTGAGAGCCATAAAACAGTTAGGACCTGGGGAGTGCCTATTAGAAGTGGAATGCTTCTTTTGCTATTACGGCATTATCAATAAGTTGTCTCCCCTCTACAAAGGCTGATTGGAAGTCGCTTATACAGAAATTCAAGCAAGCTTTAAGTCTTTGTACCAGTAGTTTAGAAATGATTTTATACACAACACTGCACAGACTTATTGGTCTAAAGTGCCCTAAAGTTTCTGGATTCTGACATTTAGGAATGAGTGATATGACAATGTGATTCCAATATTTGAGAAGCATACCTGATTGAAAAAAGCTAATGATAGCAGCCATGAGATCTTGCTTGATTAATCCCCAGAAATGTTAGTAAAAGACTGCACTCATCCCATCCTCCCCAGGTGTTTTGTCTGGTTGCAAACTGAATAGAGCTTCCTTAACTTCTTGTTAATCTACTGGCTTGAGCAATGTTGTATTCATGTCAGGGGTAATTGTTTGAGGGATAAGATGAAGAATAGAGTCTCCACCCCAACAGCCATCTTATGAGAAGAGGCTGGAATAATAGTCAACATTGTGGCCCTCTATTTCTTGCCGAGATGAGAATATCCTGCCTTGGGGTGAAATCAGTCTTGTTATTGCATTGTGCCTTCTCCTTTGGAGAGTGAAGGCATGAAAAAAGCGAGTGTTTTCATCTCCTTCTTTTAACCATCTAAGCCTGGCCTTCTGCTGCAAAACAAATATTTATTTTTATTTTATAAATTAAATGTAGGTTTACACTCTACAGGAACCGTTATTGAAAGTTAGCTACAAAGTACTTGTAATTGATAAGTAAACTATGCTTGCAATATTAAACATTCTAAATATTAGAATGTCGCTTGTGAGTTGTCCAACATCGTTTATACAGAGAAAATATGCCTAATTTATAAGGCTTGTGGGCTACTCCTACTATCAATTTTTTTGGGAATGGAATCTCACTATAATGTATATAGACTCACCCTCTTATGGTATGTTAACACTTTTAAAAATGTTATATAAATTGTAACACATTCAACACTTATTTTAAAACTGTAATATAAATTGTAACACATTCAACACTTATTTTTTTAACAAACACTAAAAGAAGAGTAAGAATAAATAAACTTTTTATAAAAGTGTTATATAAATTGTAACACATTCATATTATTAGTGTTTCCCTTTCTTTTAATTACACTTTATAATAAATATAAAAACTGTAAAACATTCATATTATTAGTGTTTCCATATCTTTTAAATTACACTTTATAATAAATATAGGAGAATTAGAAAAAACATTGCACTGAAAAAAACCAATCGGAGAAGATGATAAAAGTTCGTAATAAGAAGAAGAGAACTCCAAACCCTACTCCTCCTGGCGTAGCATATATCCGATCAATCTTAGGGGGTTTTTTCGGGTAGCAGACGAGTCAACTTGGCCAAGATGTTTGTGTAACAACAAATTTCGTATATTGAATTTATAAACACGAAAAATATTTTACAAATGAATTTCTCAAATCAAATGAATTTTGTGGATTACTATCTATATTTTCTCCTTTGATTCTTTTCACGAATAGTTTTGAGTCTTAGAGCGAAAACTTCGGCTTGATCTTCTCATTGACTTCATTTGACTTCAATTAACGTTAATCCGAGGGCCAATGCCTTGATTTCAGATTAAACGCCGTAATATACAAAAAACACGAAGAACACGGGTCCTTGGTCTTCGCCGCGAAGTAGATCTTGAATCTTCTCCACGCCGGTTTTGAATTTACTGACGTTTTTCGGAGGCTTTGCAACTTGTGTCTGGATTAAACGCCAGTCTTGAGGTTGAACGCACTTGAATCTTGCTTCGAATCTTCAAGAATGTCTTTGAATCTTCAAGAACACCTGAATCTCGTCGAGAGAATCTCTAGAGCTCTTGAACTTGAATATGAATTATGATATGTGTTTTTTTTGTTTACTTTATGGAGAGTCTCTATTTATAGGTGTAGGAAAGAGCATCCTACCAAATTCAAGAATCGTAGGACACGATTTGATTGGTCCACGATGATTCACATAAGATCTTCTAGATCTACTTAAATCTCCCAAGATCTTATAAAAGACATGTGACTTATTTATCAAGAAATAAGATTTGACACTTGGCATTATTTGATTGGTCAAGAACTAAAATATTAAATTGTCAATTAATTAACTATTTAAATTTAAGAATTAAATTTATGGAAATCTCTAAAATATAAATAGAAAATATGACTTGATTTTTAATACATTAATTTCCACGTGGCTCTATCTGATTGACCACAAATTTTATGTATCTACAAATGCCTCCTCGAGACTTGTTCACAAACGACGTGTCTTGGAGCGAATAAGTCGCGATATCATTTATCGGACTTTGATAATTTGGTTGTCGTATCGTTTAGGGTCATTTACACATATACTACACGATTCAACAAAAATTGTAACTCTACCATCCCACTAAAATTAATTGCGTGCTTACCTAAAACATTAGATTTAATTAGATTAATTCCTACTGTCAGTTGCCATAATATCCAACGTCCCCCCTTAATTTGCGCTTGATTAATATTCTAAGGTCCCCTTAAGTTGCGCTTGATTATTGCTTCACCATATTAAAAAAAAAAACCCAAAATTAACGTCCAAAAACCTGGAAAATATACACTCAGAAAGTTTATTGTGAATTTGAATCCAAAAACAGGTTGATTGGAAATAAAAAAAATGTATGTTTTTAGTTTATATAACGTATATATATTACACATATGAACTGTATATGTTTAGTTTATTTAACGTATATATTTCTATAATTTAACGTATATATTTTTATACATAATGTTTACACATACGAAATTGTATATGTTTAGTTTATATAACGTATATATTATCATCCACTAAAATTAGTTGCGTGCTGAGGACGGAGAAATCTTTGGAGAAATCTGCAGAGGAGGATAAGGATGAGGACGGAGCTTCTAAAGAAGTTAAAATCTCCGAATCTGTTCCCTTCAAGAAGGAAACCAACAAGGCCAATGAGTTAATCGACCCGAAGAAAAAAGCGCTGGACGAATTCAAGGTTCTAATCCAAGAGGCGCTAAGCAAACACGAGTTCTCCGCCCCGCTGCCGCCGCCGGCGGCCACCCTCCAGGAGGAGAAAAAGGAGAAGCCGAAAGCGGAGGAGAAAAGAGAAGAAGAAGAAGAGTCTAAGACTGAAGAGAAAAAAGACGACGGCCCAAAAACTGAATCATGTAGAGAAGCTCCGCTGGTGGCGGTGGGCTAGAGAATAAAGTCGAGAAGTCCAAAGAGAAAGCGATGGCCGCAGAGGAAATCAATGAAAATATCGTACCTCTTACCATATGCCTCGGGAGCCATTTTTGGAATTTTTTTCTTTATTAGTTTATATACAGAAAATGGTCAGATTGCGTAATTTTACTAATAAAATTTATATATCGTGTATATGCAATAATTAACAGATGTACACGTTGGCAAAGTAAATTTCTCTATCGTTTATTCAACCAAAACAATTTTGAGCGGAACCAATTTTGATTTCCACGCATGGCCTGCCATAAATTTGTTTTTACTTGATCCAAACCCAACAGTATATTAACAAGCCCATGAGGTATATCCTCTATAAAAGAGAGCTGTACACCAACTCCATCATCATGCCATTCGGCCATTGCAACAGAAAGCAGGCAAGAGCTCGTGCTATTCTTCTTCTTTTGCCATTTTTTTTTAATGTGCTGCTACGTAAGGCTGATGTTGATGTTGTTTGGGTTCTTGTGCAGAATTTGGTGGGCTACCTTAAAGAGTTCATGCTCATCTATCTCCCAAGTTTTCGGCCGCCAAGTGCTCGACTAATTGCTCGAAAGGGAACAAGATACTATTTTTTCAATATTTTTTCGTCTCATATTCTTTCTTCCGTTACGTTTTGCAGCAATATGTTTTTCGGGACGTTCGTATGGTTGACTAAGCTCATCCTTTTAGGATATTAGGCGTTCACTTCCGTATTCTAATGCAACCACCGTTTTGGATTTTCAACAGACCTCCTATATTGCCATGGTATTATGATAGCATATTCCCATTTGATCTAGTTTATAAAAATGCGTAAACCTGTATACATGGTGTTGTACATGTGGTGGTTTATGATGTTATTATTAGTATCAGTATACATCATGCTATACATGTGGTGGTTTATAATGTGATTATTAGTATCAATTTGAATTGTATTGTGCCTTCCTTTTAACTGCTAGAAATGCCTACTCCGTTTTCCTTTTGCAAAGTGGAACCTATAGTTACAAATTTTGAAGGGGATCATTAGCTTCTGTTAATCAGTAATGGTGGAAAATCTGCAAGTACTAAGCATCCGGTTTCTGTTGTCTTCATTGCCACTGATTGCTGGTACGAATAGTAATGGTAAATTAAACTGCCCCAGGTGCTAATACATAGTAAATTAAACTGCCCCAGGAGCTTCTGTTAATCGGACAATATTGATGACCTTAAGCCAAAACCCTCAGGCTGACCTGCACCAGGAACAGTATAAAGGTATCCATAGTTCCCTTATAAGCTGATATCATTTTTGGTTGCAATTTTTCTACCCACTTCTTAGATAGTTTGTTTATTTTGTTTTAGTTTATGTTCTTTTAGTTTCCTGCTTCGTAATCAATACTATCTTCACAAATAACTCATGTCACGAGATATTTTTTAGCTCTTTTTTTCCTACAGCCAAATGATCCCTCAAATGATTTTTTATTTTGTGTGATGACAAGTTTTTTAAAAATTCTGATAGTTTTTTAAAACTCATGTCACGAGATAGTTTTTGTCCATTGCAAATGGAGCTGGAAGAGTCATTGTTGACAATTCTCCTGGCATAGTGCTAATAATGGACTAGATCAAAATGGTTCAATTAAATTCTAGTGCTTCTTCTATTAGTGAAGTTTCTAGAAAAAAAAAATATATCAAACGGCGCAATGCACCTTGGGTCGCTACGGAAACAGCCTCCTTGTATAATTACAAGGGTAAGGTCTGCGTACAACTGACCCCCTAGACCCCAACCTGTTGGGAATATACGGGGTATGTTGTTGTTTGTATTCATTTGTGAGGTTCGAATGTATTATTTTTCTTGGATTTTACGTTTACATTGTGTTGTTTTGATTTTTGGCTTTTGATGGGTGTACAATTTGTTGTTTTGTTTAGTTTTGTAAGTTTTGCATATTTTGTTTTAACAATTGTCCGCTCAATTACGACATTTCTAAATTCTATTGCAGTGTAGGGTCATACAAATATCTAAATTCTATTGCAGCCTAAGGCCATGCAGTTGTGCTCGGGACGAGTAATATAGATCAGATTCTCAAAGCACCATTTTTTTTCTGCATGTTCTTAAAATTTTAGCACTCTTTGAAATAGAAAACATCGTACATCACGTTTCATGTCAGGACCTCAATCATTAAGGCGACATGAGCGCCATATCAACTGCAAATACGGAGAGTAGAAATAAATATATTTTGATATTGGAGGAAAATGGCAATGAATAAACTGATCGTCCATGAAAAGTCATCGACATCAAACATGTGTTTCCCTTCTTGAATACTTGTTCGTGTTGCTGTTCGTCGTTGATCTAACACCTTCTACAACTCAGGTGAGTTTTATGTATAGGAAGAAGACGCTTCCAATAGAGATTTTTACTTTCGACTGTCATTACGACGATACAGGTGATATATAAAGGTATATTTTCAGTT